AAATAAGCGATATTTTAGGGTTAAAAACAGGGATTTCCATGAAAATAAGTGATATTTTAGGTTAAAGGCAGGCATTTCCATGAAAATAAGCGATATTTTAGGGGAAAAACAGGGATTTCCATTGAAAAAAGCGATATTTTAGGGTTAGAAACAGGGATTTCTATGAGAATAAGGGATATTTTAGGGTTAAAAACAGGGATTTCCATGAAAATAAGCGATATTTTAGGGTTAAAAACAGGGATTTCTATGAAAATAAGCGATATTTTAGGGGAAAAACAGGGATTTCTGTGAAAATAAGCGATATTTTAGGGGAAAAACAGGGATTTCTATGAAAATAAGCGATATTTCAGGTTAAAAACAGGGATTTCTATGAAAATAAGCGATATTTTAAGAGAAAAAAAGGGATTTCTATGAAAATGAGCAATATTTAAGGGGAAAAACAGGGATTTCCATGAAAATAAGCGATATTTTAGGGGAAAAACAGGGATTTCTGTGAAAATAAGCGATATTTTAGGGGAAAAACAGGGATTTCTATGAAAATAAGCGATATTTTAAAGGGAAAAACAGGGATTTCTGTGAAAATAAGCGATGTTGAAGGGGAAAATCAGGGATTTCTATGAAAATAAGCGATATTTCAGGGGAAAAACAGGGATTTCTATGAAAATAAGCGATATTTAGGGGAAAAACAGGGATTTCTTGGAAAATAAGCGATATTTTAGGGGAAAACAGGGATTTATGTGAAAATAGGCGTTGTATTAGGTTAGAAACTGGGTTTTCTATGAAAATAAGTGATGTTTGAGGTTAAAAACAAGGATTTCTATGAAAATAAGCGATATTTCAGGGGAAAAACAGGGATTTATGTGAAAATAAGTGATATTTAACGGGGAAAAACAGGGATTTATGTGAAAATAAGTGATATTTTAGGGTTAAAAACAGGGATTTCTATGAAAATAAGCGATATTTTAGGGGAAAAACAGGGATTTCCATGAAAATAAGGGATATTTTAGGTTAAAAACAGGGATTTCCATGAAAATAAGCGATATTTTAGGGGAAAAACAGGGATTTCTATGAAAATAAGCGATATTTTAGGGGAAAAACAGGGATTTAAGTGAAAATAAGCGATATTTTAGGGGAAAAACAGGGATTTCTATGAAAATAAGCGATATTTTAGGTTAAAAACAGGGATTTCTATGAAAATAAGCGATATTTTAGGGGAAAAACAGGGATTTCTATGAAAATAAGCGATATTTTAGGGAAAAACAGGGATTTCCATGAAAATAAGCGATATTTTAGGGGAAAAACAGGGATTTCTGTGAAAATAAGCGATATTTTAGGGGAAAAACAGGGATTTCTATGAAAATAAGGGATATTTTAGGTTAAAAGCAGGCATTTCCATTAAAATAAGCGATATTTAAGGGACAAACAGGGATTTCCATGAAAAAAAAGGATATTTTAGGGTTAAAAACAGGGATTTCTATGAAAATAAGGGATATTTTAGGGTTAAAAACAGGGATTTCCATGAAAATAAGTGATATTTTAGGTTAAAGGCAGGCATTTCCATGAAAATAAGCGATATTTTAGGGGAAAAACAGGGATTTCCATTGAAAAAAGCGATATTTTAGGGTTAGAAACAGGGATTTCTATGAGAATAAGGGATATTTTAGGGTTAAAAACAGGGATTTCCATGAAAATAAGCGATATTTTAGGGTTAAAAACAGGGATTTCTATGAAAATAAGCGATATTTTAGGGGAAAAACAGGGATTTAAGTGAAAATAAGCGATATTTTAGGGTTAAAAACAGGGATTTCTATGAAAATAAGCGATATTTTAGGGGAAAAACAGGGATTTCTATGAAAATAAGCGATATTTTAGGGAAAAACAGGGATTTCTATGAAAATAAGCGATATTTTAGGGGAAAAACAGGGATTTCTATGAAAATAAGCGATATTTTAGGGGAAAAACAGGGATTTCATGGAAAATAAGCGATATTTTAGGGGGAAAAACAGGGATTTCTATGAAAATAAGGGATATTTTAGGGAAAAACAGGGATTTCATGAAAATAAGCGATATTTTAAGGGGAAAATCAGGGATTTCTATGAAAATAAGCGATATTTTAGGGGAAAAACAGGGATTTCTATGAAAATAAGCGATATTTTAGGGGAAAAACAGGGATTTCTATGAAAATAAGCGATATTTTAGGGTTAAAAACAGGGATTTCTATGAAAATAAGCGATATTTTAGGGGAAAAACAGGGATTTCTGTGAAAATAAGGATATTTTAGGGTTAAAAACAGGGATTTCTATGAAAATAAGCGATATTTTAGGGTTAAAAACAGGGATTTCTGTGAAAATAAGCGATATTTTATGTTAAAAACAGGGATTTCTATGAAAATAAGGAATGTTTTAGGGTTAAAAACGGGGAATTCCACGAATATAAGGGGAATTTTAGGGGAAAAAACAGGGATTTCTATGAAAATAAGCGATATTTTAGGGGAAAAACAGGGATTTCTGTGAAAATAAGCGATATTTTAGGTGAAAAACAGGGATTTCCATGAAAATAAGGGATATTTTAGGATAAAAGCAGGGATTTCCATTAAAATAAGCGATATTTTAGAGGAAGAACGGATTTCCATGAAAAAAAGCGATATTTTAGGGTTAGAAACAGGGATTTCTATGAGAATAAGCGATATTTTAGGGTTAAAAACAGGGATTTCCAAGAAAAAATAGCGATATTTTAGGTTAAAAACAGGGATTTCCATGAAAATAAGCGATATTTTAGAGGAAGAACGGATTTCCATGAAAAAAAGCGATATTTTAGGGTTAGAAACAGGGATTTCTATGAGAATACGCGATATTTTAGGGTTAAAAACAGGGATTTCCAAGAAAAAATAGCTATATTTTAGGTTAAAAACAGGGATTTCTATGAAAATAAGGGATATTTTAGGGGAAAAACAGGGATTTCTATGAAAATAAGCGATATTTTAGGGGAAAAACAGGGATTTCTGTGAAAATAAGGGATATTTTAGAGGAAAAACAGGGATTTCTGTGAAAATAAGCGATATTTTAGGGGAAAAACAGGGATTTCTATGAAAATAAGCGATATTTTAGGTTAAAAACAGGAATTTCTATGAAAATAAGCGATATTTTAGGGGAAAAACAGGGATTTCTATGAAAATAAGCGATATTTTAGGGGAAAAACAGGGATTTCATGTGAAAATAAGGGATATTTTAGGGGAAAAACAGGGATTTCTATGAAAATAAGCGATATTTAAGGGGAAAAACAGGGATTTCTATGAAAATAAGCGATATTTTAGGGGAAAAACAGGGATTTCTATGAAAATAAGCGATATTTAGGGGAAAAACAGGGATTTCCATGAAAATAAGCGATATTTTAGGGGAAAAACAGGGATTTCCATGAAAATAGGCGTTGTATTAGGTTAGAAACTGGGTTTTCTATGAAAATAAGTGATGTTTGAGGTTAAAAACAAGGATTTCTATGAAAATAGCGATATTTCAGGGGAAAAACAGGGATTTCCATGTGAAAATAAGCGATATTTTAGGGGAAAAACAGGGATTTATGTGAAAATAAGTGATATTTTAGGGTTAAAAACAGGGATTTCTATGAAAATAAGGGATATTTTAGGGTTAAAAACAGGGATTTCCATGAAAATAAGGGATATTTTAGGTTAAAGGCAGGCATTTCCATGAAAATAAGCGATATTTTAGGGGAAAAACAGGGATTTCCATTGAAAAAAGCGATATTTTAGGGTTAGAAACAGGGATTTCTATGAGAATAAGGGATATTTTAGGGTTAAAAACAGGGATTTCCATGAAAATAAGCGATATTTTAGGTTAAAAACAGGGATTTCTATGAAAATAAGCGATATTTTAGGGGAAAAACAGGGATTTCTATGAAAATAAGCGATATTTTAGGGTTAAAAACAGGGATTTCTGTGAAAATAAGCGATATTTTAGGGTTAAAAACAGGGATTTCCATGAAAATAAGCGATATTTTAGGGGAAAAACAGGGATTTCCATGAAAATAAGCGATATTTTAGAGGAAAAACGGATTTCATGAAAAAAAGCGATATTTTAGGGTTAGAAACAGGGATTTCTATGAGAATAAGCGATATTTTAGGGTTAAAAACAGGGATTTCCATGAAAAAATAGCGATATTTTAGGTTAAAAACAGGGATTTCTATGAAAATAAGCGATATTTTAGGGGAAAAACAGGGATTTCTATGAAAATAAGCGATATTTTAGGGGAAAAACAGGGATTTCTGTGAAAATAAGCGATATTTTAGGGGAAAAACAGGGATTTCTGTGAAAATAAGCGATATTTTAGGGGAAAAACAGGGATTTCTATGAAAATAAGCGATATTTTAGGGGAAAAACAGGGATTTCTATGAAAATAAGCGATATTTTAGGGGGAAAAACAGGGATTTCTATGAAAATAAGCGATATTTTAGGGGAAAACAGGGATTTATGAAAATAGGCGGTGTATTAGGTTAGAAACTGGGTTTTCTATGAAAATAAGTGATGTTTGAGGTTAAAAACAAGGATTTCTATGAAAATGAGCGATATTTCAGGGGAAAAACAGGGATTTCTATGAAAATAAGCGATATTTTAGGGGAAAAACAGGGATTTCCGTGAAAATAAGCGATATTTTAGGGTTAAAAACAGGGATTTCCATGAAAATAATGCGATATTTTAGGGGAAAAACAGGGATTTCCATGAAAATAAGGGATATTTTAGGGGAAAAACAGGGATTTCCATGTGAAAATAAGCGATATTTTAGGGAAAAACAGGGATTTCTATGAAAATAAGCGATATTTTAGGGGAAAAACAGGGATTTCTATGAAAATAAGCGATATTTTAGGTTAAAAACAGGGATTTCTATGAAAATAAGCGATATTTTAGGGGAAAAACAGGGATTTCATGAAAATAAGCGATATTTTAGGGTTAAAAACAGGGATTTCATGAAAATAAGCGATATTTTAGGGGAAAAACAGGGATTTCTATGAAAATCAGCGATATTTTAGGTGAAAAACAGGGATTTCCATGAAAATAAGGGATATTTTAGGTTAAAAGCAGGCATTTCCATGAAAATAAGCGATATTTTAGGGGAAAAACAGGGATTTCCATGAAAATAAGGGATATTTTAGGGTTAAAAACAGGGATTTCTATGAAAATAAGGGATATTTTAGGGTTAAAAACAGGGATTTCCATGAAAATAAGTGATATTTTAGGTTAAAGGCAGGCATTTCCATGAAAATAAGCGATATTTTAGGGGAAAAACAGGGATTTCCATTGAAAAAAGCGATATTTTAGGGTTAGAAACAGGGATTTCTATGAGAATAAGGGATATTTTAGGGTTAAAAACAGGGATTTCCATGAAAATAAGGGATATTTTAGGGTTAAAAACAGGGATTTCTGTGAAAATAAGGGATATTTTAGGGTTAAAAACAGGGATTTCCATGAAAATAAGCGATATTTTAGGGGAAAAACAGGGATTTCCATGAAAATAAGCGATATTTTAGAGGAAGAACGGATTTCCATGAAAAAAAGCGATATTTTAGGGTTAGAAACAGGGATTTCTATGAGAATAAGGGATATTTTAGGGTTAAAAACAGGGATTTCCATGAAAAAATAGCGATATTTTAGGTTAAAAACAGGGATTTCTATGAAAATAAGCGATATTTTAGGGGAAAAACAGGGATTTCTATGAAAATAAGCGATATTTTAGGGGAAAAACAGGGATTTCTGTGAAAATAAGGGATATTTTAGAGGAAAAACAGGGATTTAAGTGAAAATAAGCGATATTGAAGGGGAAAATCAGGGATTTCTATGAAAATAAGCGATATTTTAGGGAAAAACAGGGATTTCTATGAAAATAAGCGATATTTTAGGGGAAAAACAGGGATTTCTATGAAAATAAGCGATATTTTAGGGGAAAAACAGGGATTTCTGTGAAAATAAGCGATATTTTAGGGGAAAAACAGGGATTTAAGTGAAAATAAGCGATATTTTAGGGGAAAAACAGGGATTTCTATGAAAATAAGCGATATTTTAGGGAAAAACAGGGATTTCTATGAAAATAAGCGATATTTAAGGGGAAAAACAGGGATTTCTGTGAAAATAAGCGATATTTTAGGGGAAAAACAGAGATTTCTTTGAAAATCAGTGATATCTTAGGGGAAAAACAGGGATTTCTGTGAAAATAAGCTATGTTGAAGGGGAAAATCAGGGATTTCTATGAAAATAAGCAATATTTCAGGGGAAAAACAGGGATTTCTATGAAAATAAGCGATATTTAGGGGGAAAAACAGGGATTTCTTGGAAAATAAGCGATATTTAATGGGGAAAACAGGGATTTATGAGAAAATAGGTGGTGTATTAGGTTAGAAACTGGGTTTTCTACGAAAATAAGTGATGTTTGAGGTTAAAAACAAGGATTTCTATGAAAATGAGCGATATTTCAGGGGAAAAACAGGGATTTCCGTGAGAATAAGGGATATTTTAGGGGAAAAACAGGTATTTCCGTGAAAATAAGGGATATTTTAGGGTTAAAAACAGGGATTTCCATGAAAAAATGCGATATTTTAGGGTTAAAAACAGGGATTTCCATGAAAATAAGGGATATTTTAGGTTAAAGGCAGGCATTTCCATGAAAATAAGGGATATTTTAGGGGAAAAACAGGGATTTCTGTGAAAATAAGCGATATTTTAGGAGAAAACCAGGGATGTCTGTGAAAATAAGCGATATTTTAGGAGAAAATCAGGGATTTCTATGAAAATAAGCGATATTTTAGGGGAAAAACAGGGATTTCTATGAAAATAAGCGATATTTTAGGGGAAAAACAGGGATTTCCATGAAAATAAGCGATATTTTAGGTTAAAAACAGGGATTTCCATGAAAATAAGCGATATTTTAGGGGAAAAACAGGGATTTCTGTGAAAATAAGCGATATTTTAGGTGAAAAACAGGGATTTCCATGAAAATAAGGGATATTTTAGGTTAAAAGCAGGCATTTCCATTGAAAATAAGCGATATTTTAGGGGAAAAACAGGGATTTCCATGAAAAAAAAGGATATTTTAGGGTTAAAAACAGGGATTTCTATGAAAATAAGGGATATTTTAGGGTTAAAAACAGGGATTTCCATGAAAATAAGTGATATTTTAGGTTAAAGGCAGGCATTTCCATGAAAATAAGCGATATTTTAGGGGAAAAACAGGGATTTCCATTGAAAAAAGCGATATTTTAGGGTTAGAAACAGGGATTTCTATGAGAATAAGGGATATTTTAGGGTTAAAAACAGGGATTTCCATGAAAAAAAGCGATATTTTAGGTTAAAAACAGGGATTTCTATGAAAATAAGGGATATTTTAGGGGAAAAACAGGGATTTCTGTGAAAATAAGCGATATTTTAGGGTTAAAAACAGGGATTTCTATGAAAATAAGCGATATTTTAGGGTTAAAAACAGGGATTTCTATGAAAATAAGCGATATTTTAAGAGAAAAAAAGGGATTTCTATGAAAATGAGCAATATTTAGGGGAAAAACAGGGATTTCCATGAAAATAAGCGATATTTTAGGGGAAAAACAGGGATTTCCATGAAAATCAGCGATATTTTAGGGGAAAAACAGGGATTTCTATGAAAATAAGCGATATTTAAAGGGAAAAACAGGGATTTCTGTGAAAATAAGCGATGTTGAAGGGGAAAATCAGGGATTTCTATGAAAATAAGCGATATTTTAGGGGAAAAACAGGGATTTCTATGAAAATAAGCGATATTTTAGGGGAAAAACAGGGATTTCTATGAAAATAAGCGATATTTTAGGGGAAAAACAGGGATTTATGTGAAAATAAGCGATATTTAGGGAAAAACAGGGATTTCTATGAAAATAAGCGATATTTTAGGGTTAAAAACAGGGATTTCTATGAAAATAAGCGATATTTCAGGGGAAAAACAGGGATTTCTATGAAAATAAGCGATATTTTAGGGGAAAAACAGGGATTTCTATGAAAATAAGTGATATTTTAGGGAAAAACAGGGATTTCTATGAAAATAAGCGATATTTTAGGGGAAAAACAGGGATTTCTATGAAAATAAGCGATATTTTAGGGGAAAAACAGGGATTTCTATGAAAATAAGCGATATTTTAGGGGAAAAACAGGGATTTCCATGAAAATAAGGGATATTTTAGGGGAAAAGCAGGCATTTCCATGAAAATAAGCGATATTTTAGGGGAAAAACAGGGATTTCCATGAAAAAAAGCGATATTTTAGGGTTAGAAACAGGGATTTCTATGAGAATAAGCGATATTTTAGGGTTAAAAACAGGGATTTCCAAGAAAATAGCGATATTTTAGGTTAAAAACAGGGATTTCCATGAAAATAAGCGATATTTTAGGGGAAAAACAGGGATTTCCATGAAAATAAGCGATATTTTAGGGTTAAAAACAGGGATTTCTATGAAAATAAGCGATATTTTAGGGTTAAAAACAGGGATTTCATGTGAAAATAAGCGATATTTTAGGGGAAAAACAGGGATTTCTATGAAAATAAGCGATATTTTAGGGGAAAAACAGGGATTTCTGTGAAAATAAGCGATATTTTAGGGGAAAAACAGGGATTTCTATGAAAATAAGCGATATTTTAGGGGAAAAACAGGGATTTCTGTGAAAATAAGCAATATTTTAGGGTTAAAAACAGGGATTTCTATGAAAATAAGCGATATTTTAGGGAAAAACAGGGATTTCTGTGAAAATAAGCGATATTTTAGGGGAAAAACAGGGATTTCTGTGAAAATAAGGGATATTTTAGGTTAAAAACAGGGATTTCCATGAAAATAAGTGATATTTTAGGTTAAAGGCAGGCATTTCCATGAAAATAAGCGATATTTTAGGGGAAAAACAGGGATTTCCATGAAAAAAAGCGATATTTTAGGGTTAGAAACAGGGATTTCTATGAGAATAAGCGATATTTTAGGGTTAAAAACAGGGATTTCCAAGAAAAAATAGCGATATTTTAGGTTAAAAACAGGGATTTCCATGAAAATAAGCGATATTTTAGAGGAAGAACGGATTTCCATGAAAAAAAGCGATATTTTAGGGTTAGAAACAGGGATTTCTATGAGAATAAGGCGATATTTTAGGGTTAAAAACAGGGATTTCCAAGAAAAAATAGCGATATTTTAGGTTAAAAACAGGGATTTCTATGAAAATAAGGGATATTTTAGGGGAAAAACAGGGATTTCTATGAAAATAAGCGATATTTTAGGGGAAAAACAGGGATTTCTGTGAAAATAAGCGATATTTTAGAGGAAAAACAGGGATTTCTATGAAAATAAGCGATATTTTAGGGTTAAAAACAGGGATTTCTATGAAAATAAGCGATATTTTAGGTTAAAAACAGGGATTTCTATGAAAATAAGCGATATTTTAGGGGAAAAACAGGGATTTCTATGAAAATAAGCGATATTTTAGGGGAAAAACAGGGATTTCTGTGAAAATAAGGGATATTTTAGGGGAAAAACAGGGATTTCTGTGAAAATAAGCGATGTTGAAGGGGAAAATCAGGGATTTCTATGAAAATAAGCGATATTTTAGGGGAAAAACAGGGATTTCTATGAAAATAAGCGATATTTAGGGGAAAAACAGGGATTTCTTGGAAAATAAGCGATATTACAGGGGAAAACAGGGATTTATGTGAAAATAGGCGTTGTATTAGGTTAGAAACTGGGTTTTCTATGAAAATAAGTGATGTTTGAGGTTAAAAACAAGGATTTCTATGAAAATGAGCGATATTTCAGGGGAAAAACAGGGATTTATGTGAAAATAAGTGATATTTAACGGGAAAAACAGGGATTTATGTGAAAATAAGTGATATTTTAGGGTTAAAAACAGGGATTTCCATGAAAATAAGCGATATTTTAGGGGAAAAACAGGGATTTCCATGAAAATAAGCGATATTTTAGGGGAAAAACAGGGATTTCTATGAAAATAAGCGATATTTTAGGGGAAAAACAGGGATTTCA